GCTCTCGGTGCCCAGGGGAGAGATGCTTATCGCCCCCTGGGAACGTCTGCTAGAGCAGGGGGAAAAGAAAAGACCCCGATCGAGGTTCCGAGGATCGAGGTTCCGAGGCCGAGGATTCGGCGAGGCGCCTGCGGGACCCGTGCCTCCGGTTCCCACCCTGGCGTGGGGTCGCCCCCCGAAGGCGCGCGTTCTCCGCGTGTCAGCCTGGAACTCGCGCGGCCGGTACCGCCCGCTCCACGGAGCCGCCCTCCTCCCCACCCGAGACCTTTATGTTTAAAATCCGGAAGAAAAGGGGCACCCGTGTCCTCCGGCGGCCGTGGGCGAGCACACAGGCAGGAGCCGCTGCTGCTGGTGTGGGCGCGCGCGGGTGGCCTCGGGCGGAGGCTGCACGTTTGGGCATTTGGCGAAAAGCGTAGGACTCGGGTCCCATGAGCTCACTTAGTTGCTTTACAGAAAAATCCCACGAACAGTTACCGGTGTAAGTCTGTTGGCGTGGAATGAATCAGAGTTCCTAGACAAACGTTGGGAGACGGCTGGGATCTCGCAGTTCGACGTGAAACAGGCTTTCCTCTGGCCCGGGAGGGGCGCCTGGCTGAGAACTTGATTTTCTGGAGCCCGTAGTGCTCAGACGGCCCATGTTTCTGCCTCAGTCTGTGTCTCATGAGTACGGCCATGTAAAGCGACAGGCAGTAAGTACCTAGGTCCTAGGTGCTAGGTACTCTTTGTACTTGATCTCATTTAAGCTGAACTCTAAGGTGGTTAAAAGTTGCTATTTTGCCGATTAAGAAAGGGAGGCTGAGCCAGGCTGGTGGCACAGTGGTTAGCGTCAACCCATGAACCCAGAGGTCACTGTCAGGGCACGTGCCCGGGCTGGGGGGCTCCATCCCTTGTAGGGGGAGTGCAGGAGGCCAGCCATCGATGGTGTTTCTGTCTCATCCATGTTTCTATCTATCCCTCTCCCTTCCTCTCTCTCTAAAAATCATTAAAAACATTTTTTAAAAATTTTAAAAAGAAAAGAAAAGGAAGCTGAGAAGTAACTTGGGAGAAAGTTAGTACACTCGGTCATTAGAAAGCTATGTTTGGAGCTGGGCTGTGTGGGCTTAAGTTTATTCTGCCTTTGCTGCTTTTGTGACTTGAGACAATTAACTTTCCGAGTCTCAGGAGACTGGTTTTGCATTTGTAAGAGAGGAGTAGGAATAATGTCAACCTCAGAGGACATGGGTTGTGTGAGGAATAAGAGAGAGGATGTTTGTAAATCCTTAGCACAGAGCCTAGCACAAGGTAAGCATCATTGTTGTAGATTCACAGTCGTTGGCAGAAATGAAACTGCCTTCAGATCTGGGTATTCCACTGCCGCATGCTGTTTCCTAAGGTTGGGTTTAAAACAGCCTACGCGCAAGAACGTGTTGACTAACCGACCTGCCTATGCGAGTAGTGCTCGTTGCTCTTGTCGGTTTTCATATTTCTCATTCTGAAAGGCAACGTAGGTAAGGAAATGTCAATCAAGGTCCTGGCAGGAAACCCACTTCAACCCGGATGTTCCAAATGAAGAGACTTTAATGCCGGGAGGACCTAGTGGAGGGGCGTGGTTACTGTTTGAAACGATGACAAAGTTGCCCTTGGTCTTTCTCTGAAAAAGCTTTTTCTTCTAGGATACGTTACTTGGTCTCTCTGGCATGACCTGCCTCCGATGATTTATTACTTTCCGCTGCAAACACTGGAACTCACCGGGCTGGAAGTTTTTGGCGTAGCTTTTCTCTCTCCGCTATTTCTCATAACTACTCCTGTCTGGAAGCTGGTGCACAAGAGGTGGATGCTAGCCCTGCTGCGGATCCTTGCTGTTGGTAATTATTTGAAAGTATTTCTTTACGTTTTATTTTTTAGTTAAAAATCAAATGAAAGTATGTAGACTGTTCTTTGAATGCTAAATGTTTGAATTAGAAAAAAGAGTTCTCTTTCTCTTACTACTACCTCAAGAGTTTTAGTAAAATTGGGAGAGTAGGCAAAAAGCCCATGTATTTTACATTTCTAATTTTCCTATCAGATTGGAAAAGCTTAAGTATCATGAAAGGACAAGGGGAAAGAAATCGTGGTCAACAGTTCAACTCTTGAATATATTGTAATCGTTCCCCCCCAGATATGACACAAAACTCAGAAACCATTAAAATTGTTAAAGGACACTGCATAAAAATATGAAAATTATGCGTGACCAAAACCATAGTAAGCAAAATCAAACAACAACGTAGGAAAAATATTTGCAGTTCTTTTAGTCAAAGGGCTAATTTCCCTAATGTATGGTTTTTTCACAAATCAGTAATAAATAAAGGACCAACAACTCAATAGGAAAGTGGGCAAAGGCTACCATCAGTTTACTGGAAATGAAATATAATTGTTTATTTAAAAATGTACTCAGATGTGTAGAATGCAAATTGTACTCACAATATACTTATGTATAGTTTTACCTATTGGATTGGCAAAAAAATAAAGTCTGATAACACTGTATTGTAAGGATGGGAAGCAGACACTCATTCACTACCAGTGGGAATCTAATTTGGCAAACCTCTCTGCGAAGGATAATTTAACAGCTTTGGTCAAAATTGCAAATGTGTACATACTCTTTCACCCAGCAATTCCACTTCCAGGAATATATCTAGTTCATACTTCTATTGATTTGGGTTATTTTTTTTTAAATATATTTTTATTGATTTCAGAGGGGGAATGGAGAGGGAGAAAGAAATAGAAACATCAATGACGAGTGAGAATCATTGATCAGGCTGTCTCCTGCACACTCCTCCCCACCCCCCGGATGGAGCCTATAACCTGGGCATGTGCCCTTGACTGGAATCGAACCTGGGACCCTTCAGTCCGCAGGCTGATGCTCTATCTACTGAGCCAAAACACCTTGAGCAATTTGGGTTATTTTTTACCTTAAAAATTTTGGCCCATTAGAATGGCTATAAAAAGATAGATAATAACAAGTGTTGGCAAGGATGTGGAGAAATTGGATCAGTCACACATTGCTGGTGAATGTAAAATGGTGCTGCAGCTTTGGAAAGCAGTTTGTCAGTTCATAAAAACGTTATCCTATGACTCATCACCTCCACTCCTGGTATTTACCTAAAAAAATGAAAACACATGTTCACACAAGACCTTGTACACAAATGTTCATAGCAACATCTATATATATAAAAGGCTAATATGCAAAGTGTCCTCTCAGGAGTTCGGCTGGGAGATCGGAAGTTCGATCACTCACTATGACGTGCGCTGACCACCAGGGTGTGGCATGGAATGAAGGAAGGCCCCAGCCAGCCCTAATCACTGGCCAGACCTAGAGGCCCTACTCATGCACTAATTTCGTGCACTGGGCCTCTAGTTATTTATAATAGCCCAAAAGTGGAAACAACCCAAGTGCTTATCGACTGATGAATGGATAAACAAAATGCAGTACATCTGTGCAATGAAATATTATTCAGCCATGAAAAGGAATGATGTACTGATAACATTCTACAACATGGATGAGTCTCGGAAACATTATGCTAAGTGAAAGAAGCCAGTCACAGAAAGCTACATATTTTATGATTCCCTTATATGAAATTTCCAAAACAGGAACATTTATATGAGCAGGAAGTAGATGATGATTGCTAGGGGCTGGGGGTGGGGAAGAAGAAAAGGGAGCAATGGCTAACAGGTATGGATTTCTTCTTGGGTGAGGAAAATATTCCGGAATTAGATAGTGGATAAACAAAATGCACTATTATCCATCCGTGGATGAATGGTTAAACGAAATGTGATACATCTGTGCAATGAAATATTATTCAGCCATGAAAAGGAATGATGTACTGATAACATTCTACAACATGGATGAGTCTCGGAAACATTATGCTAA